TTTTAACAAAGTATTGATGCAAATCTATGTAAAAATATGGTAAAATATATAAGCTAAGTATAATCAGATATTGAACAAGTATCTAAATTCTAATAGTCAATAGACGAAACAATAATTCAGTATAAACGCCTTTTTTAAAATTATATTTGCAATCAGGTTTATTTTGTGTGGTTTTTAATAACCTTGCACGTTAGTAAAATTTTAGGCGTTTTTGTTAAAATATACAAAATCTGCAAAAAACACAGTTTTCCGGCAATTAAAAAAAAACTGTAGTGCCGAATTTTTTGTCCATTAAGTATGTTATGGATACATATGAGTTCTAACTACTGACAAATTTTCAACTTAAAGGTCTTAAAATTACGGCTAAAAAACCCTAAAAACAAAAAACTTGCACCCTCCCTGGGGGTTGGAAATTGGTATAATTTAAATTTGATACAACTGGCGTGCGCGAGCATACCAAATAAATATTCCTTATAAATTTCAACTCTGTCCGACTCTTTTTATCGAAATTATAGCCGGTAAAAGTTATAACTTAAAAACTCGTATGGTTTTTTTAAATTTTTACAGCGAAGAAGTAAACTTTTTCAACTTTTACCCCCCTAGAGTACCAACTATATACCATAGTAAAACCAATACCTTCTCCGCTTTGCATCGAAGCTAAAATGGTGGGGAAAATACGAATAATTTTTCTAATGACATTGAACCGTGAACCGTTCGCGCCAAACACACCACACAAGGCCGTTGAATAGGTGCCGCCTTAGATAATTTTTTAAATCATATTTTTAACACACAAACGAAGCCGGTTTATTCAGATGGTAAATTATAAAATTCGACGGTTCATAACTTATGGTATAAATATACCATTTGAGTTTAGACATGCACTAAATAAACAACGGCAGATGCGTCAGTTTGTTTATGGGAAACACAGTTGTCAACTACTTGTGGCAAATACAAATTTCCAAGTATTACATTTTTCAATATAGACAACGCTAAACATACTGTTCGTCCAACGGTGATTGTTCAAGTCTAAACGGTTTAAGATGGAAAAAAATGAACTCGTAAGGTTTTTGATTCCGTTAGTTTTGGTATACTTACACAATACAACAAAGGTATGCGCAAATCCGTCAAAAGCTCAAATCGACTTATTCCGTGATCTCAAACTGGAACGAAATTGGCAAAATATGTGGTTCAAAGAGTTCAGAATACATGAGAGCTATTGGATGCCGATAAGCTATTTATGGCGAAGTAGTGTCGATGCAGTTACTGGATTGAAATTGGTCTCTCCGTTGATGGGCTGCGCGTACGGCGTAAATTTGAACTATTATCACTTACTGACGCTAGTTGCAATTGAGGAATGCAACAAAATGCAACAGAACCGTCATGAACACGCAGAGCATTGTAAGGAAAATCTTAAAAATAGTGTCGAAAATGGTAAGTTTGTTGTATGGAAATTAATGCGTTCATTAAGGCGCATCAACGATCAAATCGGTAACGATGTCGGTGACGATCGATTTTATCAAGTTCTGTTCCCGCTCCAAGATTTTATTGAGGAAATTCCAACCGTTTTAGAATTTACCGGTATTTTACCAGGAGGCTTAGATGTATACATTTTGTTTGACACAGTTTCTCGATCCTTAAGAGAATTTTTGATTTTTTCATGTTCTCCAAAGTATACGTTATTCGATGTGGATGAAATAAGCCGTGGATATAACAATGAAGTTCACCCGAACGGCATCTATGGTTTCTATGTGGAAAAATTACATTCTTACATGAATTACATCGAGAATCACTTGACTGAACTTGATTTTTACTACAGTAAGAACATAGACATTTTATCCTAGCCAAAATGTCAAACAATCGGTTCATTTTTCCAATAGAATTATATTCATTGAGTAATTATGTACATGGGTCTTAATATTTTTACTATTTACAAAATATGTTCTTTTCTTTTTAGAAATAGTATTGTATTGTATTCCAGTTATTAAAAAAAATAATTTTTTAAACTAATTGTAATCGATAATTTAATAAATGTCAAAATTTCGATTTTATTATTTAAGTGGAGAAAACCCTAACGTGAAAGCTCTATACCAGCGTTTGGTGTTGTCTAGTTTAAAAAAATATAATATTATCTTTATTCGATTCTAACAGTTAAAAATATGTAGAACGTTACAGAAAATTAGCTTCGTATCCAATTTTCATCAAATATAACTAACTGATAGTAGTTTGTTCGTCATGTAAGTAGGTACAGAAATTGTAATTATAAAGATGATACAGACGAAAAATAAACACATCAGGTTCGTGCAGGAGGAACAATGTTACTATCTAGATAGCCTCCAAAAGGACAAACTTAAACTTGTTAAGACTAAACAAAACATTTAAAACAATCGCGTGTAAGTTAGTATAAAAACGAATACCAAATAATAAAACAGTTTATTAAGACTGAAAAAAAAAATGATTTCTTCCAGCTATTTATTTTGATATTTAAGAGAACAATTTACCGAGTTTGAGTGTATCTAAATTGCAAAGGTTTTTATGGCCGGCTGCAGCGATCAGCAATCACTTATCGACGCTAGTTGCAATTGAGAAATGTAATGAAATGCAACAAAAACCATCATGAATACGCTTTAGATGCACGTTAGAACATATAATGTCAATTTCAACCTCTCGTTCCATCACTTCATAAGGCACATAATACTTTCCAAAAAATGACATGTATACTTATCAACAAGTATCTTTATTTCGACCTTTATAATCCCCCCGAAAATCTATCTCTTCTAAAAGAAAGGGTTTATGACACTTTTTTGATTTGTCAATGTTCATCTATAATACTATGAATAAAAATATTCCATACATCGTAATTTTAAGTTGAAATATATGTACATTTTTTGGACGTTTTTCTTGATTTTTGGTACTTCCAGGCACGATTTCTGATCTATTGAGTTGCTACATCGTGTATCATGGGTCCAAACACAAAAAAAAAGAAATAATAAAAACACATTATTGTAAAATATACAATACCGTCTCGAAGGTAAATAATATTAAATTTCACACGTTTAAACGATATAGGTACTGTTTGTTTTTTATTTAAATTTGTAATTATAAAATTTGACGTTTTAAGAACTTATGGCATTAATACAGCAAATTTTTATATGAACCAGACAAACGGCGGTCGGTGCGTCAGTTTATTTATGCTAAACGCAGTGGTTAACTACGTGTCACAAATCGAAATTTGTCCAGCATTTTGTTTTTAAACGCAGACCACGCATATCACTCTGTCAGATCAAGATAAATTGGTCAAGTCTAAGCAATTAAAAATGGACAAAAATGCAAAGATAATGTCGTTAATTACGTTGGTTTTAGTAGGTTTGTACAATACAACATGGGTATGCGCCAAACCACCAAAAGATCCAAGTGACTTGCTCGATAAGATCGGGAAAGAAGAAAAATAGGAAGGCATATGGTTCTATGAATTCCGAGAAAATAGAAGTTGGATGCCGATAAACTTTTTATGACATATAAACAATGGAGTCGACACATTATTTAGATTGAAATTGGTCTCTCCATTGATGAGCTGCGCTTACGGCGTGAGTTTGAATTATTATCACTTATTGACAGCTTGTTGCAGTTGAAGAATGTAACAAAATGCAACAAAACTATGCTTATACGCTCGCTAAGGATTGTAAAAAAAAAACTTGAAGATAGTATCCAAAACGGTAAGGTAGTTATACTAAAAATAATATATTTATTGAAGCTCATCGACATTGAAATCGGTAACGATGTTGTTAACGATAGATTTTACCAAGTTCTGTTTCTGCTCCAAGATTTTCTCAGGAAAACCCCAACCACCATAGAAATTACTGGTATTTTACCAGGTGGCTTAGATATCTACACATGATAGTGAAAAGTACCCGAATGGCATCTACGATTTTTATTTGGAAAAGTTAAATTCTTACATGAAATTCATGTTCTCTTGACCGAGCTTGGTTTTTAATACGAAAAGAACCCGTCGAAATTATCTTTTCCTAAATGTCAAACAATCAGATAAATTATAACAGAATTATGTTGAAATCAAGTAATAATAATATGCATAGGTCTAAATATTTTCACGAATTACAAATGTTGTATTCTTTATAGAAAGAGTAATTATTTTATAACATTGATAAAAGTTCATTTATGACATGTTAATTTGTTATGAGTTTATTTAAAAAATAATTATTGGATTAATTGATTTCAATGATTTAACAAATGTAATAAACATAATTTCGTTTATTATTGTATTTTGATAAGTGGAGAAAACCCCTAACGTTATAATATAGCTCTAAAATAGTAAAAAATTATTGTGATTTGTTTTACAAATACAATTTTTTTCCTTATAAATTAAAACTACACGTAAGTAGCAAGTAGTACTAGAATTAAAGGATAAAATCCATCTATATCAATAACAGACACCACTCTAACTGCCATCATACAATTATATTATAAACTTAAGTTTCATCAACTTAATACCATTTATTATTATTTTACTCTATTACAAATGGCGCCCAACTATAAAGCTCTGTACGTTCTCAGAAACATTAGTGTTCTTTAGTTAATTAAGGAAATATTTTAGGAATAATTTTTATGTCTTATCAAGTTAAATACATGTCTATAATTAATACTTAATAATTTCAATAATATTATTTTTGGCATAAAAAATGGCTCAAATTAGAATTATTATTTTTAATTTTCGTCGACATAATGAGAAGTCCAGTGACTGCCCGTTTGATCAGAGTATTGTAGATGACTTTTTCCACATTCGATAACATTTACTTATATCGAGCGTCTTACATAAAATCTCCCCTTAAATTTCTCGTGGCCAACGTCCGCGAAAATATGAAAACTTTACATTGTTTAGCGATCTCACATTGCAGCGCCATTACAATCTTATACATTTTTTTCTTTCTTATTTTATAAAATTATGTATATAATACGATATACATACACCCAAACGCGCCACCGTCTGACCTTCGCACGTGTCATTAATTTTTTATGTCTAATATTTATATATTAATTTTATATTTTATATCACTATGGAGGAGGGTGATACTGCGTACACAGATATACTGATGACGCTCCGAACGCAAAAAGTCGTGGACTATTCTCACCTCGGGGCTATATAAGAGCGGTAAATACCGTACCGAGCCAAGATGAGCGCCGGATCCGTATTAGGTGAGGAACAAGAAGAAGTAAAATAAGTAAGTAGAAGGGAAGGGTCTCTTATCAGCCATCATATAATATTATTAAAATCACCGTTCTCTAATGCCGTATAGTATTTTAACGATATACTTATACTACTTTACTACTGACTTATATTTATAAAATTTGACCTATGGTATTAATGTAGAAATGTTTATTACGCACTAGACAATCAACGACGGGTTTGTCAATTTGTCTATGTGAAACGCAGTTGTTAACTACGAGTCACAAATCGCCAATTTTCAAGAATTTCGTTTTTCAACACAGACCACGTACATCGTGCTGTTCGACCAAGGAAAATTGGCCAAGTCTAAGCGATTTAAAATGGAAAAAAATGCAAAGATGATGCCTTTAATTTCGTTGGTTTTAGTATGTTTACACAGTGTAACACAGGTATGCACAAGACCACCAAGAGAAGCCACCAAAATGCTCAATAAGATCAGGAAAGAAGAAAATTGGGAAGGGATGTGGTTCGATGAATTCCGAGAAAGTTGGGGCTGGATGCCGATAACCTATTTGCGGGATGCAAATAACAGAGTTAACACAATGTTTAGATTGAAATTAGTCTCTCCGTTGATGGGTTGCGCTTACGGTGTGGATTTGAATTATTATCACTTACTGACGCTTGTTGTGATTGAAGAATGTAACAAAATGCAAAAAAATCACTACGATGCACTCGCCGAAGATTGTAAACAAAAAATTGAATATAGTATCCTAAACGGTAAGATTGTTATATTCAGACTAATGCACTCGTTAAAGCGCATCGACATTTTAATCGGTAACGATGTCGTTAACGATCGGTTTTACCAAGTTCTGTTCCCGCTCCAAGGGTTTCTTGAAGAAAATCCAACCATCATAGAATTTAATAGTATTTTACCCGGAGGCTTAAATATCTACACCTTGTTTAGTACAGTTGCTCTGTCCTTGAGTGAATTTTTGATTCATTCATGTAAACCACCGTATACCTTGTTCAATGTAGATGCATTAAGTCGCTACTATAATAGTGAAAATTACCCGAATGGCATCTACGATTTCTATTTGAATGTATTACAATCTTACATGAGTTTCATTGAGAATCACTTGACCCAACTTGGGTTTTAATACGAAAAGAACCGGCAAACTTATTTTTTCCTGAATGGCAACAACCAGTGAATTTATTCCAACAGAATATGGTCGTCGAATAGTAATGTATTTTTACCAATTACAAATTTGGTATTCTTTATAGAAAAAGATGCTAGTTAATAACTTTTTAAAGATAAATAATTTATGCCATTTTAGTTTGTTATGAGATGATTTAAAAAAAAAACCTTTTTTGAATAATTAATTCACTGTGATAAATGTAATAAATGTCAAAATTTCGTTTTACAGTGTTTTTTTCAGCCAAGAAAACCCTAACGTGGAAATAATATAACTCTATAACATTAAAAAAATACCATGATTTGTTTTGTAAATAAAAGATTACACAAGTTTTATACATTTATTTTATTTATTTTCTTATTATTTCTTTATCTTATCTTTAAATAATTGAATACAACTCAATATTCGACAATGTATTGATGGAATTGGTTTAGACCGATTGACTACAATATAATATACCAAATTTTCTGTTAGTAGTAGTGTAGTTGCAGACAGTAGCAAATATCAATTTAAGTGGAGATAGTCCATATAAATATTGAACATACTGAAAACAAATGATACAACATTTTTAATAAGTTTCTTAGATACTTAATTAATTATATGGTAAAGCAACAAATATCAATATAGATGTGATCATTTTTAAGTTAACGAATTTTAATAAAATATAGGTATGATTAATTGTTTATCCAAAATAACTTATTATGTTTTTATATGTTTATGAATAATAAAAAACTGTTAATTATATTTTCCTAATTCAAAATATTATACAATACACCTATATCAATAACTGCATTGTCTTACCTATTAGTGTTCATTAAACGATAGTTGAAGATTCAATTTTTTTCATAGAAATTGTTATATTTTTTCTTTGAATTCAAATACTAATATGTTAAAACTACACATTGATAGGTTTCTTAGAGCAATTACTTAATACTGTAAACTAAAATAAAAGTTTTAATTAAAATATCATCAAGTATAATTTAAAATACTCTATTTATTTTAAATAACATATTATTATAAGTAGGTACCTTTAATTTTGATATTTTATGTAGGTATAGACTCAAGCAAAACTTCATCTCAGTATTCACTAGGGTTGGGCCTATACCGGATATTCGGAACGATATCCGAAATCCGGATAGTTTCGGATATCAAATAATATTGCAATTATCCGTAGAACCAAAACTATCCGAATAGTTAAAAATTATCCGGCTAGTTTCGGATATTCATTTAATTTTTAACCAGCCGAATATATTTTTTTGAGTACTCAAATTTATATGAAATTGTATAGTGCAAGATAATAGAAACTAAATATAAGATTGCGTTATCTCTTAAACCAGTGAAATAAAAATAGACCGAGTTTATCTTCATACGAATATGCATACATATATTATGTCAGTACCTTAATTGGGCGACAGATACAGGTTTCTATACAAATAAATATTTTATTCTGAAAGTATAATTTTAAATTATAAATTAAAAATTCATTTAAGTAGTAGGTATAGTAGTTAATACATCTCTATCAATAACAGCTACAACTCTATCTACCATCATACAATTATATTAGAAACTTACGTTTTATAAACTTATTACTACCACTTAAACCTTTCTATTATAATTTTACTGAAACTTCCATATTCTTTAGTTAATTTTGTCAATTTTTAAGGAACTATTTTTATATCTTTTCAAGTCAAATATATGTCTATAATAAATAATTAATAATTGAATCGGCCATTTCAAAAACGACACAAGTCACAAAATTGAAATTTCAGTGTGTCTAATTTTTTGTTCTCAACATTTGTATTTAATATGAGTCTGACAAATTTAGTTTTCACACAAAATACGTAACTAAGTATATAATTATCAAATTTGACAAAATATCATTTTTGAAAAATCGGTGACTTATGTTGTTTTTGAAATACCGATTCAATTTCAATAATATGTTTGGCTTCGTTGTGTAAATAGTGTAAACACAATACCCCACTTAATTTTTAATAATTAACTTTTTTATTAAATTATGTATGTCAAAACACACACACTAATGCGCGTGCACAGGCACAACCGTCTGGCCTTTACACGTGCTATACATTTGTATGTCTATATTTTTATATTAATTTTATATTTTATACTGCGTCCTACCGTGGGGGAGGGTGATACCGCATACACAGATGTACTGGTGGCGCCACGATCGCAAAAAGGGTATGTGAACTATTCTCAGCTCGGTGCTATATAAAAGCGGTAAATATCGTAGCGATCCAGATGAGCACCAGAGCCGAATTAGGTAGGTGAGGAACAAGGAGTAGTAAAAGAAGTAAGTAATAGAATAATTTAATCTTTTGAGGAGCGGAAGTCCTCATATTTCTTACGTCTATCAAAAATTATACGCTATTATTAAAATCACAATATGAATTATAATACTTAAAATACCATTTTTATTAAAAAAAAAATTGATGTTTTAATAACCTATTGCACTACTATAGCAATGTTTAATATGTACTAGACCATCAACAGCGGTTTCGTCGGTTTGTTATTGCGAAACGCAGCTGTACACTAAGTGTCATTAGTGAAAATTTTCAAGCATTACGAACAGCACCACGAAAATCACTTTGCTGGATCAAGGAAAATTGGTCAAGTCTGAGCATTAAAAATGGGGGAAAATGCCAAGATAATGTCTTTAATTACGTTGGTTCTAATTTGTTTACACGGTGTAACACAGGTATGCGCAAGACCACCAAAAGGTCAAAGCAAAATGCTCAATAACATCAAGAAAGAAGAAAATTGGGAAGGGATGTGGTTCGACGAATTCCGGGAAGATTGGAGTTGGATGCCCATTAGTTATTTAAGGAATACAAACAGCAGAGTCGACACATTGTTTAGATTGAAATTGGTCTCTCCGTTGATGGGTTGCGCCTACGGTGTGGATTTGAATTATTATCACTTACTGACGCTTGTTGCAATTGACGAATGTAACGAAATGCAAAAAAATCAAGCTTATGCACTCGCTGAAGATTGTAAAAGCAAACTTGAAGACAGTATCGAAAACGGTAAGATTGTTATACTCAAACTGATGCACTCATTGATGCTCATCGACATTGAAATCGGTAACGATGTCGTTAACGATCGATTTTACCAAGTTTTGTTCCCGCTCAAAGATTTTCTCGAAGAAAATCCAACCGTCATAGAATTTAATGGTATTTTACCCGGAGGCTTAAATATCTACACATTGTTTCATAAAGTTGCTGAGACCTTAAGAGAATTTTTGATTCATTCATGTAAACCAACGTTTACCTTATTCAGTATAGATACAATAAATCGTGACTACAATAGTGAATATTACCCGAATGGCATCTACGATTACTACTTGCAAGTATTAAACTCATACATGATATACATCGAGAATCATTTGACTGAACTTGGCTTTTACGATAAGAACACGGCTAACATGTCCTATCCTAAATGGCAAACAACCAGTTAATTTATTCCAACAGAATTATGTCGGAATCGTGTAATAATGTCCAATGAATTAAATATTTTTAATAATTTCAATTTATTTTTTCTTTATATAAATAGTAACTAGCTTATGGTTTTTAATGTTAATTTGTTATGAGTTATTTAAAAAAAAAATTTTTGGATCAATTGATTTCACTGATTTACTAAGTTTAATAAATGTCAAAACTTCGTTTTATGATCTCTGTTTTTATTTCGGTAGAAAAAACCCTAAAGTGATAATAATATAATTTAGTGTTTGGTTTTATTTATAGCTAACTTAAGTAACATGAAGTATTAGAATTAAATGACAGAAATAATTTATCGATAAAATATCTTTAACAAACTGTGTTCATTCTACTTAAAACAAAACTTTGTCTTGGTAAAATTTGTTTTCTTGAAAATTAAAATGTTTATTTAACTTATATTATACTCATTCTGTTTTTGAACCGATAAAAACATTTATTTAAATGTCCAATCCCATAAAAGTTATTTATCTAGCGAATAAATTGGATAAAAGATGAACTAAGAATTTAATGTGGTCTTATGCTACAAAGAATACCAACAAATAATTTTGCTGAATTGTATGTCTTGTGCATATTACATTTTTTTTTAAATAATTATTGTAGACTCAAAATACTGAATTATGAATAAAAAATAAAATGTATGGGTCACAGAAAATGGTATAACAAAAAGTAAACAATTTTTTCAAAATGAAAATCATAGGAAAATTAGTGTGGGATAATAAATGAAATATATCATAAAATATTAAAATTTTATCTTGAAAGGATTGAGGATTAAATAATAACATTTTGGTCATGAAAAACAATATTAAATCAAATACCATTTTATTTAAATCTAAGAAAATATTATATTATATCCTTGAAATTTTAAAAATCATATTTACTTTATTAAAATACCTTTATATATCAAATTTTCATAAATTCACAAATATCATAAAATATCTAATTCCATTAAACTTTTGTTGATATAGTTGAGTTAAAAAGTAATGATAATTTCAAACGAAATAAATACACGTTAGTATTACAATAGATATATAGTTATAAATAATAATAATTATTAGGCATACACGATAATTAATAATCATTAATTGAAGTTAAATTTTAATGCACTTATTACTAAAATAACACATGGAAACTTGTTTTTTTATAAGTACCTCACTGAAAAAGCACCTAAATATTTGCAATTGTAATTTTTAGATCCTTCTAGAGTAAACTTATTTAAGTAAATTTTTTTTTTTTATTTACTTGAGGCGGTTTAATTATATTGTGACCATTTTATAGTTGAGTGAATGGCAAATACCTGACCGTTCATGAATCGATTAAACAAAAAATAATTCTCAAAAAATACCCATAGTAATGTTAAAAACTATTACAATAAATATACACTGTCAGATTAAAATTATTAGAAGAAAACTTTAAGATGCCAATCTGTCGATTATAAGAAACCAGCACACTAAAAACAAAAAATAATTAAGGGAGAAACTTTAAAAAAAAAGAACATACGATATAATATGTTTTTTTTTTTATAAAGTTTGACATTTTTTTTTAAATTTTTGGTATAAATATATAACGTATATATATATATAAACTAAAAATAAATAACACAGACGCTGAGCAAACAAGTGCATCTGCGGATTATGGTTGTCTACCAAGTGGCACGAATAGGAAACGACACTTAGACATTTTGTATTTTCGTATAGACCGCGCACGTCTTGTTGTTCGATCGAGCGAAATCGGTCAAGTCTAAAAACATTTAAGATGGGAAAAAATGCATTCATAAAGTTTTTGATTCCGTTGGTTTTGGCGTGCTTGCACAACGAAACGAGGGTATGCGCAAAGCTGCCAAAACGGCAAGTCAACATGCTCAAACATCTTAAGCAAGAACACCTTTGGCAAGACATGTGGTTCACGTTCTTCGTTAGCGGCGGTGCTTGGTGGCCCCTAAGCAGTCTGTGGGAAGGAAATCACGGAGTGAGCACCGAGACTAGATTGAAAATGGTCCCTTCGTTGATGGGCTGCGCTTACGGCGTAAACTTGAATTATTATCACTTGTTGACGTTCAAAGTGATCGAAGAATGTAACGAAATGCAAAAAAACAATGACGGCCACGCCGAAGAGTGTATGGAAAAACTCAGAGGCGCCATCGAAATGGGTAAATTGGTTGTGTTAAAATTGATTCAAACGTTAAGTCGCATATATTTAACGATCCGTGGCAATGTTACTATGGATCGGTTTTACAAAATCCTGTCCCCGCTCGAAGATCACTTTCTCAACCGACCCGTCGAAGTGGAATTTTCTGGAATTTTACCGGGAGGCTTAGTTATCAACACGTTGTTCAATGCGGCTGCTGGATCTCTAAGGGAACTGTTGATCGACACGTGTCATCCAAACTATCAGCCATTCGATGTAACAACAGTAAGCAGTGAATATTATGTTGGCGACAATTACCCGAATGGCATCTACGATTTCTATTTGGAAAAATTAAATTCTTACATTGATTACGTCGAGAGACACTTGACAGCACTTGGTATTTACTAATTACAACCGTGTTTTGTATTCCTTTATAGAAAGCTTTTACCTATTACCTACTATTTCTTTATTATAAATAATGGTTTACAATGGTTTAGTCGCATTACTGTATTACTGAGACGAATTGCAGAAAAAATTGGAATTTATAAAAATAAAAAATGTCAACATTACATTATTTTTAATACTACGCATTACTTATTAATAACTAATCACTAATCTAATCTATATTACTTATCAGCAATTCTAATATTATTATATTTTAGACATAATCAAAAATTAGCTTGTTTCTGTTTTCTTAATGTGCATACAATACACTTTGAAGTAATTATATTTAATTTTTCAAATAATAGTTTTAAAAAATATAATAAAATATTATACATTTATAGTTTAGATATTTTTCTCTATATGTTTTGTCGAGATGGAAAAAAATAAGCCATTAAAATATTAATATCATAAGAATTATGATATTAATGTATACGACATACAATATTAAAAAAAGGTTCAACCGGTTTTAGAATTTTAAAAAATGGTGTAAGTACTACAGTAATTATTTTGGAGCTCCTTTGATAAATAAATAGCATTTGTTTTTCTTACTATAGGTTTTTATTAAAGCATAGAACACACGCATAGCCGCTTTAGTTTTGAATCTGGGTGAAGACACATAGATTGGTTTTAACTTGCATTTAAGTCGAAGAATAATTTTGAACCAATAAGCGTCCTCGTTGTTTTTCCATATGTCATATGTTTTCCTCTAAAACATAAAAAATAATTATTCAATACAGGTCTCACTAAAAAAGGTGAATATTTGGTAGCTTTATAGTATTGTACAATGACTTAACTAAAAATATTTCAAAAACAAAAACTACAATATTGAGGAGTTTTTGCGTTAAATGGATCACTCTGTATACGGGTGTACAGTTGTCTCGATATTACAGCAAAAACGGGTGGTTAAAAATATATATTTTTTATAGAAATAGTAATCAGTTAATAGTTATTATTCTGTAATGCCTTGAAAGCCATTCATATATATATATATGGGGGTCGGGATACATTTTTTTTGTTTATAATTTAATAATAATATTATATTTTTAACATCAAGTTCTCGACACGTGTAAAATATGTAGACGCCAGACAGTGTTTATTTATATAACACACATGTATTAAAAACATACAAAAAATTTGACCTTCGTTAAAATAATATTCATAACTCATCTTCGCAAAGAATCGTATACAGTTTTATTTTTGTTCAAAAAAATAATTTTAATTATTCTAACAACAATTTAGTTTTTGCTGAAATTGTATTCAAACGAGTTTGACAACAAATAAACATTGATTTTCAATTTCAAACCATAGGTACCTAATTATTTCAAATACTATATTTTGATAAATTAAAATATATTAATATAGGTAACTAAAGAATCGTTTGAATCAGTTAATAAATATTATTGTATACATTAAATAGAAATTAACCTACTGATTTTCGAATACTCGGTATACGCAAATTATTTATTCGTCATGTTGGTATATTGTTTTATCTAATTAAAAATCAACTAGGTCTGCCGATAACGGTATAGGGGTAAGCTCAGTGTTGGCACTACTGGATATTGTGTCTATTATTTTACATTGGAATTTCCCAAGTAGCTTACCGAAAATTCCATTCGACTTTAATATCACAGATTAGATAAAACTAGATGGGGTCAACAACATGGGGGTCATTTCACTAAAATTTCATTTTTTTTTTAAATCTTCCAAAATGAATTTAGTAATCTATTTACAACTATTAAGTACCTTTTAATAGGACTAATAAGTAAAAAATAAAAAAAAACCTAGAAAAAAGTGAACTAAAAAGCAAAAATTTTAGTAATTTTTACTTTTAATTAAAATTACTACTTTTAATTAAAAGTAGTAATTTTACTACAAGAACATTTTACCAATCAATTGTAGAACATTATTTTTTTTTTAATGTCAATTACATTGAAAACAACCGGAAATTAACTACAATTTTAAATATTATTGAACATCTTTAATTTTTGACTAAAAAGAAAAGCGTGGGCCCTATTCAACAAAGTCCAAATTCATTGAGTAAAGTATTATGGAATATATGTATCACACATCAATATTGAACTAAATTAAAATTACAAAAAAAATTATAATAGAAAACATTATCTGAAAATTTATTAGGAACTTTGTTGAATAGGCCCCACGCCTTTTTTTTTTTGGTCAAAAATTAAAGATGTATACCATTATTTAAAACTGTAGTTCATTTTCGGTTGTTTTTAAAGAAATTGACATTTAAAAAAAAATGAGCTACAATAATTGATTGGCTAATTGTTCTTGTAGTAAAATCTTTTTTTTACTTTTTAGTTGACTTTTTTATTTAAATGTACGGTATTATTATTGTGAATTGATATGCTATACTCCTGGCAAACAAATGGTGAAGGTAAGTGATGGTCGAATCCACATGGAACTTTCTGGACTTGTCTTGGGAGGCTTGTCTATCAACAGATTGTACAATACAGTTGCTGCTTCCTTGGGAAACTTTTTGCTCCATAATTGTAAATCAAAATACAAATTTTTCGATAAAACGGTAATAAATGATGAATACAATGGTGAAAGTTACCCAAACGGTATCTATTCTTTTTATGTAGAAAAATTAGATTCTTATACCGACTACATTGACAGTCACTTGAACCGACTGGGATTTCAACACTGAATTCATCATGGATTTATTGTTAACCAAATTTGGATAACCATTAGTTATTTTTTAGTCCTGCAGAAAATATGTTGTCATCGCATATTAATTTAAGATAGTTCAGACATTTTAAGCATATTTAAGTAATGAGAACGGTTTTATTTTCTAGTTATAGTAACCAGCTAATCATTTTAATAAAGCTTATATATTTATGCCATTTTAATGTATTATAAAAAAAATAATTGTTTGATATACCGATTTCAATAATTTAATAAATCTAATAAAACATTTTAAAAAGGCAATAAAATCTATTTAACAAAATACATTGTATAACATAATTCAGATAAGTGATAACATATCAATGTTTTTCCGTGGAACAGAGGAAGTAACTAGGTTTTTTTTATGACATCTCGGTAATTAACAATCTATCAATTCAAAGAGAATCGATGAAGTTAAAAGTCTATAATTCCTTATAGGGTTTTTTTTCCACCAGCGGTTACTCCGAGTTGAGTAGGGTTTTGGTTTGTTCGAATTTCGGTTTCTGAAACTACATTGCTCTGACAGACAGTGCACCGTCTAAGGTTTTATCTAATCTGCGATAGCGTTCTCTTGGTTCTAAAGACACTGTACATTGAACTTGACGAAAATAGGAAAATATTATTATTGAAGAATCTCGGCTTGCACGCATCGCACCGTAAAACATAAACAAGTCGGAGGTCGGTCGCACAACGTGACTGTGTCGAGTTCAAAGCGACCAGAGAGATATTAGGAGCACACATCGGTTGTGTTATTAACAGTATAAACAACAAACGTGTATGGGCCATTAGCCGCCATATAGTAACCACAGGAATCCGCAGACATGCTGGTGGAGCTCTGTCAGCATTACGTCGTACTAGGTCTGCTGGTCACATCGTTCGGTGAGTTTGATAGCAACACTGTACTTAATTTTTGCCGATTTAGCAGTGGCGTTGAGCAAAAAAAAAGGTACCCAGTCATAATATAATGTAGGGAGCTGTGAGGGACAAATAGAGATATAAGGGACGACCAAGGAGAATAGATTGGGTTGAGCGTTCATTTGAAGTGAATAAAAATGTAGGAATTTCTTTGTTCAGGTTCAGGATTGGTGTCGGCCAAGGTCGTGAACCGGCTAGTCGCTCCGGTGGATATGCAGAACGACATTTTCGTCGGTAAGTGAATGCCAAAAACTAAGTATGTAAAATTAAATTAAATACACCGCAACTGGGTACTTAGGTCCAAACGACAGGAACGAAGTTAACGACTGCAAGTCCAGCGTTGTGCGGTGGATTGACGATCTCCATCGCAAAATCGTCCACAAGGTGCATGTGAAATGTAAGTATCGTTTTTGTATTATATTAGTGTCCAAAACAAAACCCGTTTTCAAAACTTAAGCCTGAAACACTAATGGAACCATATTCAAACTCAAAAAACGATAAATCTAAAAACTGTTTCTAACCCTCAACTTAAAATATGAAAAATTGAACCGAATAATTTTTTTAATGTTGATAAAGCTGTTTAACAAATTTAAATATTAATATTCCAATATTTTAAAAATAAACTTTGGTCGGTTTTCAGTATATTTTTAAAAAAGTTAAACTTATACATTTTTTTTGAAGATTAATACTTAGAAAGACTTTTAAGTTATATTGTTTGAAACGTGTTATAATTGAAAAACGGTTATAAAATAATTTTTCCCGAAACATATCTTCTCCAATTATTTATGTTACTATTTATCGTTTGAAAGTATTTATGAAAATATATTTTTTCTCAATTTTGTTGTGTTTAAAGTTTTTTTTTTAATCGAAAAAACGTTTTGATTTTCAATCTTTTGCAGAAAGTTTACCGTACAATTTATTTTATTTTGGTTCTGCAATACACTCTCTTTCTTTAAATACGGGTATTACTTTTGCGCTATCGTTCTGTTTATTGTTTGTTGCACTTAACCTTGACGAAGAAATCTTACAATCATATTATTGTTCGTAATTTGTTAAATAGTGTACTAATACTTGAGTGATTTGTGTTTTACGTTTTGCGATTCTAAAAACCGTGCAAAGCAGAAAACTAAATCGACCTCGCATTTCTTAGAATCATCCTCGTTTCGAAAGTGTACTAAAATCGTTTATTATTGAAACCTTTTGGTTCAAATGAGTGACATTTTCTTCGAATGAAAAGTTTAGAATCTTTTAAATGATTAATAAAAACTGCATTATGTTTTTTTTTTAGTTTAATCATTGATAATATTGAACAATAATTTTAAAACGTTTAATTGAATTATAATTGAATTAAATACAATTCGTCAAAAACTATTGTAGCAAAAAAACAGCTAAATCATTAGAAAAAATCATATAAATAAGGTTAAAATGTATAAAAAAAATTATAAAAAAAGAACACATAAATTATTCTGTGTCACGTATGCGAACGACGTCGCCAAAATACTTGGACCATTAATAATCTGAAAATAATTTTAATCGAATGGTTTGTTTATTTCTGTACAGTACATTAATATCAATTATTTTCATATAAATTTTAAGTTAACTTGACTAGTTTAAATAATATACTTGAAAACTGTGGTACTAGCAGAAGTTAATTAGCTGAATTTTTAGAATATTTAAAGCTAACCGCTTTGTAAAATCAAGTTTGGCCAAGCAATAATTGAACGCAGAATTCAGTAAAGTAAACGAGGTTCTTTTCTGATCTTATTTCTTTTTCTTTTTTTTAACAAAGCTGCCTTAATTTTTTAAATTATTAGTAAATCTCACACACATAGAAAATTTTGTACCATATAAATTAATTAATTCAAAGTCAAAAGTAACAAATATGAATTATTATTGATCTTTTTTAGTAATAAGCATCATTTAAAAATTCTAAATGTATAATTTCAATAGAAAAACCTAGAAACGTTTGTTCTATATAATAGACATTAGGAAAATGTTATCAAAACACCAACAAAAAAATTAAAGTGTAATGAAATTTAGATTAAAATTTTTACAAAATATACAATAATTGTTGCCAATGTTTAAAAAAAAACCAAATCTAATTTGATATTATAAAAAATTAATACTAATTACAACCAAACTCCACACGGCAAAGGTTTAAATGGAAATTGCACGTTGTAAACACATGAGCTCAATCACTTTTGATGGCGTTTAAATGTACAAAACTGGTCTGCATTATGCGGAGTGTGTGTTTTAATGGGAAAAATATTTGCTCCAAATAAAATTCCCGTGTCCCTTGATTTATTTCACCGACCCAAAACGGCAGTGGAGTTGTAAAAATCATTACCTATTTCGGTTTGTCCTTTCCCGCGGTAATGGTACCCGTGTAGGTAAGACCAGACGACCCACGTTAAGACCACTCGTTATCTTCTGCGACACGCTAAGCGCAATTTATGTTTTTCTGTTTATGGTTTTCGCAATGCTCCACCGAGTTGGCAGATTCCAATGTGGGACAAATAATAAGCCGACATTATCGTTGATTACACACAAGTTAACGTTAAGGCACGTTAGGGATTCGACCCTGCAATAGCTGTTGTTACTTCACTCGTACTTACGCAAGTTTTAAGAGCGAGCTAAACCCCCCATCCAAGTATTATAGTAAGGGTAGCAAAGTACCGGCAAAGTTTTCCGCAAAATCTTAATTATTTAGAGCTTAAGTGGATGTGGCACGCGATCTGTTTTTAAGGAGTTTTGTATAGGCAATATTTAAGAAACAAGTGTTTTTAATAAATTTCGACCGTGATAATTCATTTTTATAAACTTCATGGTGTTATTTATAATTTACATATTTTCTTCTTAAGTAAAAGCTATTTTGGTTTATTTCACTTTGAATTTCGACTACTTAGGATGGTCCGATTTTATTTCTGTAAATATATACAAGATGATATTTGAATTTTTTCTTCTTTTTTTTTTGTAAAAAAATTAGGTTTTAGTATTGAAAAAATTACAAATTCGGTTTATTTAATCACAAGAAACGGACATTTCGAAATGAAAGTCGGCTTCTTAAACAACATAGTAACGTAGCCAAACAACTCGAATCTCTTTACAGAATTGAATTTGGACCATCATTGGTCTAAAATAACACAAAATGAAATTTACTTAAAGAAAAAATTGTATTAATTAAAAATAATACCTTGAAATTTATACAAACTACCCGGAAATTTAATTATCATGGCTGAAATTTATTGATACCAAATTTTTCTTAAATATTGCCTATACAAAACTCCTTAAAAACAGACAGCCTCTATCGAACAACTCAATATAACTTTAACCGTACTCTGAAATGCTTAGTTTTTAAAACAGATATATACATTTTCAATACTTGCTCGTCGTGTCCGTTAGAAGAATACTTTTAATTTCATTCTAAAAATAATTTTGAAAAAATCGTTAAAAAAAACTTTAAAAATAGCAATATTTCACATAGAAATAATTAATTAATTAAAAATTGTTTTGAAATTCTATCTCGATTGATATCTTATAAATGTTATGAAGAATCCAAATATATTTTTTTGAACTTAAATTTAAGTATTTTTTTTTTTTAACATACTGTTCAAAGTAGGTAAATAATATGTCTCCGTAAAAAAATATATGCATATACAAAAATAGATATCGGTTTTTTTGGGATAATATATATTATGTTTATTGCTTATAAAATATTTTAGTTAAATGTTAAGTTTAAGTGAAAATTTGCTTAAATACATAATGCATTAAGAAGGGGATTGCATGCGGTCTGTTTTTAAGGAGTATTGTATAGGCAATATTTAAGAAAAATTAGGTTTTAATAAATTTCGACTATGTCAATAATTTTACCTGTTTATTTGTATAAGCTTCATGGTATTGTTTTTAATTTAAATAATTGTATTGTTTTTTTTCACATTGCCATAGTCATAAATATAGAATAGTAGAAATTAGACAATAATTTTGATATCGTTAAGCCTATATTTTATTTTTAAGCCAAACTGGTGTGATTGGCCATGAAACGTTTTCCAAATAGACAATTTTGGTTTTATCAATGCATTAACCATAAACGACATTAGGTTTCATTCAATATGTGACATGACACGATTAGGTACATTTTTCTATAAACATTCCTTTATTTTAAAGCTAACCATTTCTTCACTCATAAAAATGTCAATAAAAAGCATTGATACGTTATTGAGTGTAGTCTAACAACTTTATAATCGAACACATTGAACGACCAATACTTAAGCTGTTAAATTTAATAAAAAATTACTATTTTTTTGTATGTTTACATCAATATCCAAAATTACATATCTTTTAACTATTTCTTTGCGGCTAAACAGAGTAACCTAAAATAAGTAAAGTTATTTTTATGTCGTAATCACAATTCTAACCCTGTTGGTTCCAGTGTGTAAAATGACATACAAATACATGAAGAACGTACTGGGAATCAAAGAGTTCAACTTGGATACGCCTTGCAACGACTAGTAGCAACCGCTTGACGCATTACAAATAACTTCTATCACATCATCTCCAGATCAAAATGAATATAATTGAAATTAAATGAACTCAATGTCTGATAAACTGCAATGACATAGTTATAAATATTTGTATATTATTAATAATCAGTAGTTATTTTTGTCGTAGCTCTACTCAATTTGTAAATACATTGCTAAAATTATACTAAAATATTATTTCCCCGCAGCAAATATAATACGTCGTATAGTAATCCAACCTAACCTAAGGTCATAACTTTGCTTTTACTTATCACATCACCCATTTTAACTTTGTGTCATATATTTTCTACTCAAGATCTCCGAACAAAGTCCGGCTTTGTCTTTAATACCGATTTTATTTAGATGAGATAATTAGTTTTTTTTATGGCATTTACAATATGCGCATCGATTGAATAACATAATATTATTAACAAACTTACTAACTCTTCCGAATGTCACTTGGACTTTGGCTCTGTAATGGCCGCCAGCGTGATCGTCGTTGTTGTGTTGCATATTGTTACATTCGGCGTGTGGTTCTCGACTGTCAACAAGATAGACCAATTCAAATTCACGCCATAAGCGCATCCCATCGTCGCAGAGACAGTTCTCGACTTAGCCACTGGCCCCATCTAAGTAAAAAAAACCACAATGTCTACGCATGTTATTTCGACTTGTGCCACGTGGTAGACGGCAAAAGTGTTTCGCGCAAAACAATAAGACGGTAGGTAGGTATAGGCATACCTTCTGTTTGCCAAGAGTCCAACGTGTCAGCTCTCTGTGCGAATACCGCACACGTTATTGTATGCCAAATTTTATTATTAAAAAAATTCCAACAAAAAGTAACAAGTGCACCGTTGCGTTCTGATGCGAAATATTTCAATACGGTTTTCTCAAACGTGTTTTTTTTTTAAACAAGCTGTGAATTTTGAGTAAACAGTGATTTTTACAACACCTAACAAACTAAACGTACATGATGCTTATAACATGAGGCATGAGCAGTCTTATATCGATTAGCTGTAAATGCAACAAACATAATGTTTGGTTCAAATAATTACTCCTTGACTTGTATTATGCAAGCTTTTTTTTCAAGCTCGGATGCAAGAAATTGAGATTATGCATTTTATTATACTTGGCTATCGACCATGCACGATTTTCAGCAAAGTTTTCTTCTGATATTAGAAAGTTCATTTAATGTTTTCGTTCTCATTCAAGTATAAAACGTTGATAGCGCTCTAGAAAATACTAAACAAGTTAAATGTTTAGCAATACTGTGTAATATTGAGTAAATACAAAAGTTTTTGAAAATAAATGATTACTTAAAAACTACATAACTTACTGCATGAAGAAGTATGTTCGGCGGTTTACAAATTTTGTGGATTTAAATATACATCATTGTAAAAACAATACTTAATCAGCTCTGAGTAGAAGCTAAAACTGTTTTCTACAAAGCACTTTAGTTGTATTTAATTTTAAAAATACAACAAAAATCTACTTCAAATGTTTTTAACTGTTTTGGCCAAAAAAAAATTGTCTTTTAACATTTTTATAAATTTTTAAAAATATTTATTTTATACTTTGTTGGCTGACCATATGAGTTTTTTTGTTATTATATTAAAGTTAACCTTGATGTATATATTATCAACTCAAACTGTAAACACACTATGACGTGCATTGCTAAGTCGATTTTATGCACATCATTAAATTGTAGAACAATTGTGTGTATATTATACATTATTTTATTAATTTCACAACTTAAACCAACTCTATTTTTTTAAGTGGAAACAGTAATGATTTAAAACATATTATTATATAAACATATATTTGTTGTGTTAACAAATTTATTAATGTGATGAAGATAGTTTTTTTCTCTTTTCTTACACTATAATAATCATTTATTATAATATTAAACACATTTTATTAATATATGCACAGCTTATACGCCGCACATATTTTGATATACAAGACCTGTTCAACTAGGACCTGTTTTGAAACTGAAATAGTTTACAATATCTAAATAGATAAAAGTAAAACTAATGCATTGAATCTGGATAATGAAAGTAGAAAGCAGCATTTATAGTTTTTTTTTTTTAAGTCAACACTCCATTGTTTGGCGTTTGGTAATTTTAAATTTTAAATCAATATTAATTTTGAATGATGCGTTGATCGAAATTTTTATTGTGAATTAGACTCAGTTTATCAACATTGGGATAACCAACAATTTATTATTTAATTTGTGTCAACTATAAAAAATAATTTATATCAAGTGTTTTTGGTCTGAAAAAAGCTAAACATAAAACTGATTCCGTTTGTATTTAAATATTAATTGTTCGATTTGTATCCAACTCAAGTCATTATAATTTTTTTTTTCGTTGTTAATGCTGTTCAAAAATTAAAATTTGATTAAAATTTGTGTCAGAGCATTTACAAACACCAAGTAGGTATATAATTATTTCTGTTTACTTAATCTTATGCACCGACGTCAGTCGGCATCCACTTATAGTAAGTATTCCAACCACTTAATTAATTGTTGCATTTAACTGGATATCTGGATTACTTTCTTTTTGAAATTAAAAACTTGTTGTTATTTATTATTTGTTAACCTATTCAAATATAACGACATGAATTTAGACAATTAACACCCTATTATGTATTTCCATAGGGACTTTTTAAGTAAAATAACAAGTTTATTTTTACTGTTTAAGTAAACCATTATTACCTAACCCTAATTGCACAAAATCCAAGAAAATTTTGGTATTTTAACCCTTTTAATGACAATGATTTAATAAAGATGCTGCAGTTTTTTTTATAAGACACCCGCTTAACAGGGCTGTTTAATTTAATTAAAATTGCCTAATGATTTTAATGATTAAAAAAAAAAATACTTTTGTAACTAGACCTTGTAAGAGTGAACTGTTCTAAAACTGTTTCAGAACAGAGATTTAAACACCTAATATATTTATTTAAATAAAACGAAAGCGTTTAAGAAATATATCATAACACGATATTTTCCATATTCCGCTGTGTGGGTAGGCCAAGATGAACCGCTGTGTGTATCTTACGGACGACACGAAAAAACTACTTTCATTTTTGTACGTAGATAGCTGTATTTTTTTTTTTTTTTTGGCGTTTTGGATAATAATAATCGTTGCCTAGCAAATCATACCGCACTGACGGACGGCTGTTTTACATGTTGCGTTTTTTACGGTAATATTTTAGACAGAGGCGGACAACAGCTTTACATTGTGAGACCGGACGAGCAGAGACCATCGTCACTAGCTCGGGGCTACTCGTGAAAATTTACAACGGTAATAAAAAAAACATACTCTTAGGTGAAAAAAAAAACCGAAGCTAAAAAACCCGTATGGGTCCTACGTGAAACTAGCCTCAACACGATACCATGCCCGGTCAACGTTATAAATATGTTTCCGATTTCATATTATGTACACATACCTACAATATATAATATTATAGGCGAGTGTTTTATGTCTGTTTACAATACATAAAATATTCATTAATTTTTTTTCTTTTTATTCCACGACCGACCGGTATTGCATTTAAGGTACAGCCGGTCGCCCACGGACCACGAGACTGTGTATAACAACGACCGATGCTTTTATATGAGTGCCAATTCATTAAAACCGTATACTACAAAAATATAATATAAAGCTTTACCATCATATTGTATTGTACCTTTCGACATTTGTCCCCTTCAAGCCATTCAATCTATCAGTCTAAGACTCTCAAGCGGTGCTCCATGGTACATTACAGACCTCCAGCTACCTTCAGTACACACAACTTGCAAAAGCTCAATACCAAAGATTTTAGGACCAAAAAGATTCCTACGTAGCCATTCAAATGTTCTCGGCAAAAATATTATGTCCTCTCTTTCCTTTCGCACAAACTAGTATCGAGATTTATTAAAAAAAAATAGAAATTATAGAATAAAAACTAAAAATAAAATTAGAGTATACCCTTAATACACAAACTACAGTATTATTAAAAGTTAAATTCTGAGGTGATGTTAGTGAACAGCCCCCTTCGGGTCATTCATGGCATGTGTGCACGTATTATGTCTTCAAATTTACTTATTGTTTGAATTAACATATTCTGTACACGGCAACGAAGTAATCAAGAAGGCAATCGACAATGTGACCACTTTAAATAAACACTTTTTTACATGTTGTTAACACTGAACAGTGTCATCCTTGTCAGCTATTATACAGATCATAATAGATGAATTCAATAACTGCCAAGTCTTATGTTCGGTACCGGACGGATGCAGTGGTGAAACAAAATCAAAACCATGTACTTACGACCAATTTAATTTCGTCGTTCTGGTCACACTGCAGTTGGCCTTTTCGCCAACTTTATGATATTTTACTTGTGACGAGCCTCGCGTTGTGTGAGGACTTGGAACAGTTGTCTGATCTGTCGAACGCGGATATTGGATTCGAATTGGAAATCATAAACGTTGTTGAAACGAATGTCCCGTTCGTGCAATGCAATATGATAATAATAATATAGTACTTGTCATCTATGTGTTGTAGTAAAGAGATCACAACGGGACACTCTGTGCATGTTATCCGATCTCAGCGACCTTGGATTTTGCTTAACAGGTAATTTAATTACCACGATTTTGTTTGTCAAATAAAAAAAAGTACAATAATATATGCTAATGTAAGAGACAAAAGAAAATAATATTGTCGAACACGATCCGCAGGTGGTACCCTAAGCCATAATCCGATATACACGTCGAGAATTGGATACTTATCAGAGACTGCGATCGCTATTATAACGGTGTTTCTTGTTTAGGTATAATAAAATCGAATTTTTTCTTTTTACCTCCACGACAGCAGCTTATTGCCATGTTCCGGTTCGCGTTTGTCCGAAGATCTATGCATATATAAAAATCAACATATTTTTTCCCTCCCGTACCTAGCCGAAATCATTGCCAAGCATGTGCTTTTCATTGCACTGCACTGTGAAAAAGGCTATAGCTAACCTAAAAATATTTTTTAATTATAATTTGTAATCGACTATTGTAAAGCATTATATTATTTTAGTTTTATGTCAAAATCTAGTTTAAAAATTATGTTATATTTTAAACAAAATCCAAGTGAAAGTGTATTTTTCTGTTAAGTTCCTTTGAGAACTTCCAAGAACTTGTAAAATAAAAGATATCGAACGCAGCTAAAAGTTAATAATATACTATACTAATTTAGAAGTACTTATTTTTTTTTTACACGTTTAATAGGAAACATTATCAACATAATATTTATGAGAATATCTACGATTTTGAGAACAATTTATGTATATTTATTTGATAGTATTCCCTTTGTGTATTACTTGTCTATCAAATATATAATCTATTAAAACATATTATATTGTCAATATTACTAACACATTTTATTTTGACAAATAAAACATATTATTTTTTTAAATGTATGACTTAAGAATTGGAAATACTTTCAAACGGTTTATAAAACATTTTTCTGTCAGTTATTTTAGAATTTGTATTTATAAAAGTTCATATTTAACAGTTGATTTATGAACTTTTAATACACAATTTGACTGTGTTAGTTATAAAAAATATATATATATATGTAAACCTAAAAAGG